CACACACACACACGCACACACACGCACACACACGCGGAAACCTGTAAGTAAACAAAGAAACATACAAAAGGTGCTGAATATTCATGATTATTCATATTTTATGCCACTACAGACATTTAATTGAATCGCTGACATTGCTGACATTGCTGACATTGCTGACATTGCTGTACAGAGTGCCGTTCATTTTCTTATATTTTGATTTCAAGAAGCGTGACTGTCTTGTAATTTTGAAGTGATCATGAGCGCTAGCTCTCCAGGCTTTTTGGAGGTTTTTAAAATTTTCTTTGCGCATTGGCTGCTTTTTCATTAGTTTATAGCCCAGTCTTTGACCATGTTCAGAGGAACGGTTTCCTTGTTTCTTTTTTTTCCCTTTTTGTCTGTTGAGCTATTCACCACTAACACTATACCTGCCTTTTCAAGGAAAAAATGCACCAAACTCAAGGATGAACCATTATCGTATCTACAGATAACAGAAATCTTAGCAAAGTTCCAGTTTTAAATTGATAGCAAGCGTTGTTATTAGTAGCCTGTCACAAAAAATATTCACATTTCTTTAGTTGAATCTATAAAAAAATAACAAATATCACAGTTTGACAGGGATAAAATAGTTTTTTTGCACTAGCAAAGAGCTATTTACTTTAAACCTGGCATATTTCAGCATGGTGTGCAGTGTGTCCTTAAAAAATTTAGGAAACTGGAAAATGAGCCTGCATCAGATTGTCAGCCTGTCCGAGGTGTACCCTGCCCCTTGCTCTTTGGTAGCTGGGATGACTCATAGATTTATGGACACAGAAGAGTACCATCAGATTTTGATTCACAGATGCAAAACCATCTCGAAAGCATCTGAATCGCACACACATGCACAACATACTAACTGTTTGTGAAAACTTACAGACACAAGAAAACTTGGGAAAAGTGGTTCACATTAAAACTCATAAGAACTGTACACACTCTGTATCTCCACTTACGTTTGCATGTGTTTCCCGTTTTCCTAGCAAAATATAAAGAAATGAGGGCTGACTAAATACTTTTGCATAGCACTGTATAAAGTACTTATTATACAAACTGGCTTTTACAGTTGCATCATACGTTCATGTTCAATGATGCACCTGTGTAAAATGATCAGGTAACCACAGTGAACATTGCTGCTTTGACAAGTCAGTTTCCTCATTGTTTTCAGTGTCATTCAGTCATGTGTTTTCTGTGTGTTTCATCCTTTTCTGCATGTGAGTGTTGTGAGCTTTGTGTACAAGATGCATCTGAGTGTGAACAATATAGAACTTTGTGAAAGAGAACTAGGAAGTAATAAGGGACGCCGTGTTCATGCTTAAATATTGACTGCTTTAAAGATTTAGAAAAAAGAAAGCAGATAAAGCACAAATGACACGAAGAGCAAACCGACCGGACAGCTGCCTGGAAGGCACCAGAAGTATGTGCACCTTTTTACCACAACTTCATTAGAAACATTATAACATTCAGTTGTGCATTTGGGTTTGTAAAATTGATTAACTTTATCTACTTTTGCAAAAATGTAGTTAATGCTGAGCTCATATTTAGCAATACAGATGATCCACTAGGATTCTTGTTGCAGCTGTTTATAAACCTGGACCCGCACAAAATACCAGGCCAGAGTAATACTGCCCCCCCGGTTTGAAATGTGTGTG